GGTGGTGGCAGTGAAGGATGAAGCAGTAGTGGCGAAGGAGGAAGGTTTTCGGGTGTGGGTATTTGAATCTTTGGGTGTGGGTTTTCATCTTTTTAGGGGTTCTTTCATGAGTTTTTAACATTATAACAAAAAAAAAAAGAGTCGTCTTGCTTCTAAGAGGCGCTCGCCTCACCTTATGACAATGGCGCCAAGGCGCAACAAGGCGCACAAAGGCGAGCGCCCGATTGAAGGCGCTCGTCTCGGCGCCGTTCAAGGCGCGCCCAGGCCAAAACGCCTCGCCCCTCGCCTTAGGCGAGCGCCTGGGCACGCCTTGAAAACACTGATTTCAGGGGCAAAAAAAGGCTTGGTGCAAGAGATGTGGAATAGCAGTGCTTGGAATATGAAGAAACCTCTTTGACTGGGAAATAAATGAGTGGGATAGGCTCATTACGATGACAGAAGTTACTATGGTGGGGCTGAAAATGATACTCTTTTATGGAATTTAATAATTAGGGTCATTTTTCAGTTAAGTATGCACTGCTCAGTCTCCATACAGAAAATAGGAACTCGACTCTACATTTTGAAACTTGATTGAGAAAGAAAAGTGTCCTTAAAAAGTTAACTTCTTCATGTAGACTATGGCCCTCCAACAGAATTGATATCCTAGCTAGGGTGCAAAAGAGAATTACGAATTTTAACCTATCTCCTCAAATGTTTATTATGTGTGGCAAAGATGTGAAGTCGATCTCTCATCATTTCATCCATTGTAGTTTTGCCTCTAAAGTTTGGAACTTCGCCGGCAATAAGTTTGTGATGGCCTGGACTCACTCTTGCTTGGTTGAAAATTAGCTCTCTTTTGTGCAGTAAGTGGTTTAAGAGAGGCAAAATTTTGAATTTGCAAATACCCCAAGCATTTCAAGAGGCTTGAACTATCCAAAGAAAACTATGCTCCAAATTCTGCATACTTCTGAAACCCTAACTCACTATATTCATAACACATTTCACTAACAAACTCCTATGATTGACAAATATCCCCTATAATGTCCTAATATTTGCCTAGTAATGTTTCTAACAGACTGATATTTTGACACAATTCAAATCATTTCCAACATAAAAGAGTAAGCAATGCATTGTATGGTATGGAAAGAAAATAAATAGGTCCTGGTATTTAAGAGAAACTTGATAAAGGAACCAACTAATTTTTCCACCAATTCAAATGCAACTACCGTATTGGTCGGCTTCCTTCAACTTTTCTTTAATTTGCTTTGATAACTCAAGCACCTCAGGTATCTGTAATTGAATAGATAAATAAATGAATAATATCACCATAAAGATTACAGCTTCACCAGATACCCCAAGGACAAGTACCTGGGTGACTTCAGAAACAGAAATTGCAATAGCTGCCTTTGCATCTTCCTCCTCAAGTCGTTTTAGAGCTCTAGCAATTTTCCTATCACACTCGATAATGAGACGATCTATAACATCCTCCAAATCTCGATCATAGTTATGAACCCCCTTAGCCTTTGCTTCTTCATATCTAGAAAGAGTTAAAGGAACCACTTCGAAACAAATTATCTGCATTTGAAATCTTCCAATTCCACCTAATTTTTTTTAGGTAATTGAGATAAGTAAAAATATATACATCTTGAGCAATGTTTTTTCTTTCATGTTTCTTGATAACAAAGTGGCGAATTTCTTTTATGTAATTGAGATAAGTAAAAATATATACATCTTCAGCAATGTTTTTTTTTCATGTTTCTTGATAACAAAGTGGCAAGCTATATTCATAAATATTCAAAATATTTGAACTCACGACTTCTTACCATTCTAAAGGAACTATAAAATTCATTATTTTCAGTTAAATATTACGTAATGCATCATCAAGTTTTCCTTTCCCAACTTACCAATAAAACAAAATCTTTACAAGTTACACAATACGACAAGTACTATAGGTTTACAAGATTCAACTTTTAGTCCATAGATCCATAAATAATCTAAGTTAATAATAATACAAAAATAAGCACTAAGATTCTAATATGATGATATAAGTTAATTACAATACAAAAATAAACACTAAGATTCTCACATGTTAAAATACAAAGTATATATGTCGCAGGCAAGGCATGCCTAAATTAATCAATTTGTTATTAGGCTAAGCATGGCAAAATTGGGTAATAGATTATAATGGATTTTTTTATAAGAAAGTGAGAACGTATTAAATCAAAAGAGCACAAGAGGGAGATGAGATACCCCAGCCAAAGGATTACAAAAAATAGCATGTACAATCAATGGAAAATTATGAATCTAATCAAATGAGATTCAACATCATGATTTTTTACACAGTTGAGACACCACTCCTCAAGCATTACAGATTACAAAATAAGTAAAAATAAAGACGATTTCCTTCAGGTAGAATAGCACAAATTCATTAAAGACAAATCGCAGAAAATAATGGCTCAAAAATACTTTTAAGAAATAAGTAATAACCTAGGCAACAAAATATAGAATAAACTTTAATGAATGATTAAGGTCCCTTCTCAGAAACTCTTTAATCGACTAGCGCACAATTGAAGTTCCATTTTCAAACCAAATGATAATAGCAAATTAACCAATTCAATGGCTCTAGCACCGTAGCTAGATAGTAAGGCACCATAAAAGAAATATGTCCGAGTAATTCCTGCTATGCTATTAACAACAAACACTGTGACCTGTAACTTTAGCAAGGATACTCTTTCCTAAGTTGCAAGGAGTGGATCTTCGGGCATGGACCCATATCCATTTTCTGAAACAGAACACAAATTTGTTGAGATTGTAGAATAAATTAATATTTTAACCGGGGAAAAAAATAAACTCGATAGCAGAAATCAATTTCCCACTACAAAGAAAAACAAATAATCCTCGGCATTTTCTCCTCCATCTTTCCACATCCAGACAGCTGATCACCCAGATTTTTCCTAACAACTAAAACAACAAAAACTCGAGAACCAGCGAAGAACAGCGTAATAGCACGCACGAAACTTTTACCGGTGTTCTGACTACCAAAGCAATCCTCTAAAAAAAATATGAGGTGGGAAAAAGAGGAAATACTGAATTGATCTAACCGTGAGTTGGAAGAGCTCATGGGGACAAAGGCCGACTAAGAACATGCGGCACACATCGCGGTCGTAGTACTTGCGGCTGACTTCTTGAACGTCGCCATTACGATTGGCGCCCATTAGCTGGTCGAGTTGCCTTCTAAAAGCATCCATGGCGGTCTCTCTCTCGCTCCAGGAAACCTTCCCACCAAAGGGTGTCGTCTCTCTACTCTAAGAGCGATGGTGTCGGAGGCAAATACAAAATTAGGGTTGGATTCGATTTGGGTTTCCGGGTACAGACTCGAAATCTTTCGGGGGATTGCAAAATTCTCTTTTCGACCCGTTTTCATTTTTTCCGGAGCATCCGACAGAGCACGGCTTGACCCGACTTTTCAATCTTGCTTTGCCCCGGCCGTCTTAGCAAGTGAGAATTTTCAACTTCATCTCAATGGAACGATCGAATTTCAGGTTAGATATATCTCATTTAAGTTTTTTATGGAGTGATGATTTATTCATTCAGGTATGGGAGAAGGTAATTAAATTTATCCGACTACTGCAATTTTATCGGTCTGCCTGTCTTTAATAATTAATTCACGCTGACCACATCTGATAGGAATCATCAAATCTATAAATAAATCTTGAAGTAGCTCATAGTAAGGGTTCAAAAGAAGAGATATCTTCAATCCTAATATATAAATAATACCAATATATTAAATATTACAAAAAATATATATTTATAACAGAGCCCCTGACCAATTCGAAACAAAAATAAATAAAAACATAGTTCCAATATTTTGGACCTTAGTTCCATAGAACAATATACTACTGCTGGTATTACCTGCCTAAACAAGAATTCTTGCTAACAACAGAGTTAACCCATTACCGCTTAAGATTTTAGATAGAACGGTGATTTATTTATCTCTCGTCATTATGAAATGTTTTCAAAATTATATACAAATTTTAGAAATGACAAAATTAATCTTTCATTTCACAGTCATATTTTCTTTTTTTCCAAACTATATATGAGAGCATTATTTTATCTAGAACATAAAAAATCTAATATTTAATTTCAAAAAAATTTCATATACGACCTTTTTTTATATACACAAAATTCTAGAGAATAAGAAACAACGAATGGATACCACTAAAGAGAAAGAACAACAAATCAAAAACAAAAAACAGCTACTTAATGTGTTTTTGTTTTCTTAATGGAAGAAAATAAATGAAAAACAAAAAATAAGAAGGTTAACATGGACCCTTTAACTGCCAAGTTCATGTTGGTTGAACTAAACTTAGTTTATGGACTTGTTCTTAAATTTAAAAACTGTCTGATATTATTTCTATACTTTTTAAATTTTGTAAAATAGATGTTTTGACTTTCAATTTTGTGTTTAATATGCTGGTCATTGATCGACTAATCGTTTTTAAAATTCACAAACTTGTTAAACATGGAATAAAATATCTCAAATTCCTAATAAATGTGTCTAATACGTACGTGAATCATAAATAAGGTTGAAATGAAAATGAAGTAATACAATATATTAAATTCAAAGTCTTTAGGTTTCTGTTAAAAAGGAGGTTGCAAATAAAGAAAACAAGAAGTCAAAGGATAAGCACAAGGATAGTTATTCAACGTTGACATACAAGTTTTTTCCATCATGCTTAAGGATAATATTTACTTTATGAACCATTCAAACTAACCACTTAAAATAAATAATTGTTGTAAGAGTGGGATTGTGGAGAACAATCGAGCAAACTTAGGGAAGAATATATTATCCTAATAGATTTAGGTAAATATGTTTGATCACTTTTTAGATTTTTCAATTGCCAAAACATCGTCATAACTACTTTTACATTTAAACGAGTGAGACCATGTAAACAAAAAAGGCATCAGAGTTGAACTTTAATATTGGTATAAAGTTGCTAAATTTTGGAATTAATGAATTTGAGAGGGTGATAGGGTTAAATTATGAACTCTTTTGTATTCGAAGTTTTCCTGGAGTTGGTAAGGCGAAATGGGGCCACCCTAGCCCAACCACCAAGCCTTGCAAAAGCGGGGGTACGACTGGTCGGGCAAGTGGTTGAGCGGGATGAGCCGCCTTGTTTTCCGAAAGAGATCGGGGAACAGATTCCCCCGAGCCTCCCCCAGGGGGGGCGAGTCTCAATTCGAGATCAGAGTTTGATCGAGGGCGCTTCTCCCCAATATGAGATAAGTTGGCTATAGTCTTGGTCTTTGATGAGGAAGTGGTGGCAGGGCAAAGAATGGGTAGGGATCCGCCTCGAATCAAAACTCTTTCTCCTTAGCACAAGCACTAAGCTGTCTCTTATACACATCTAAGGCAAACAAAAAAGGGATCCGCCTCGAATCAAAACTCTTTCTCCTTAGCACAAGCACTAAGTAAGCAAGCTACCTTTCTTTTCTACGCTACGATCTTTCTTCTCTTATGAAATTGTCGAAGCTTGGCTAAAGCGAAGCGCTTACCAAGTGCGAAGGAAAGGCTTACCGTGGTTGAACATGGACCATATGAAAGGAGACAAGCACGTAAAAAAATGTGTAGTTTGAGAGTGAGTCTTACCTCTATGTTATAAATATTTTGTTGAACTAATATAACGTGAACTCTAGTAGAATAAATTTCCACCTCCACCAAGTTTATACTAGTTTCAACCTGGCACGAAAAAACTTTCACGAATAGCAACGATGAAGAATAAGATTTTTATTGATAATGATCGTTGTAGTCTTTTTAGTTCCACAAATGTATAAGTGAGAAATTGAACCTTAATGATATGTAACTCAACCTTAATGATATGTAACTTTCTCCGCCCTATATATGATGTAATATTTGAAAAAAAAATTAAACAAATGCTCATCACTCTTCTTTGTCATTTCCCCTTTACGATTACGATTTAATTTTCAAGGAAAAATATCAAATTTGACCCATCAAGTTAAAAGAACTTTTTTTGTAATAATGTTTTATTTTAAACTTATTCTAAATATATATATCACCCCATCATAATCAATAATCAATAGCTTTAAAAAACTATTTGCGTTAAAATAGCTTTAAAAATCTTATACTATCGGCAAATAACCTTTTGTCTTCCATGAATGTCAAATTTGACAAACGTGGTGAATTAATTCATAAGTAAAAAAAAAATGAAAAAAATTATTTGTTGAGTATAATAAGTGGGAGGAGAGATTTGAACTCATGAACCCAGCTGGCTGGTCAATCTCAAAGATCTTATCGGTCGGCAAACCGGAGACGGACGACCACGGTTCCAACCTTACCAGCACCAGAGGTTTACTAATCAATGAACCCCCGAAACCTACTTTCTTTTCTGACAAAATCAACCAAGCCTAACCGGTCACGACATGTTGTTGATATTGATTGAGTTTGAGGGACTTTCGTTGACTGAATCCATCCATAAACCTAGACCCCGGCAACCTTCGTAACCAAAGTGTCACGACAACATCCAAAGGTCACTTTTAGATTCTTAAGTCGGTGAGCAAGGAGGTGTTGGATCGGTATGACAACCCTAGAGGGGGGTGAATAGGGTTTAATTAACAAAATATAAACTTTTTAATAAATGGGCTCAATTTAAATAAAAATAATACACTTTTTTTAGATATGCAATTTTAACTAAGTAAGATAAAACACATTATAAGGCAAACAAGAGAAATTTAAAGCAAACAATCAAATTCTAAGATTAATTGTAAAAATAAATAAGAGAGAGGGTTAGAGAAATTTGACACCGGGAATTTTTATAGTGGTTCGACACAACTGTCCTACTCCACTTCCCAAGCACCTCT